AACTTCCCCTGAAAATTACCTAATACATTCTTCAATATTGGACGGTTTCCCACCCTACAACTGACCTTTAGACCCTCTGGCAAATAATTTCGCTGGTCTAACTCTAATTGAAGTGACCCTTAGAGCTTGGATGATGAAAATAATTGTGGGATCAGAAAAACTTCCACATAAAAATAATAAAAAGATTTTGGCACCACAAAGCTCCTCCTCTAAATCACCGTAGGTACTAAAGAAAATTCCAACGGGAACTATTCCCGTTTTATCTTTTTTTAAATTCATAGAACATCATCTATAACTCACTCTTTTGTTGGGAATTGCAAGGTGACGGTGAAATCGAAAATTTGCTTTAACTTAACTAATTCGTCCCCCCTATCAGTCACTGTGACCTCGAAACTGTTGGCACCATTGCTTCGAGTGGTCGAAATTCACTTTTGTGAACAATTTGTTTAATCACTTTCTTTGTGTTAAAAATTGTTTGAAAAATTAAATTTAAAGGAATTGTTTGTAAATAGGTGTGCAACACATCGTACATTTCAGCATAAGAAATTGCTGATACTAACTGCGTAATACTACTTTGCCATGTGCTCACAGCACTCATAATTTCTTTTATGTATAATATTAGTTGCCTTTAGGAGCTTAGAGTTATGGAAGTATGATTTTATTAAAAAATCCTAACGTAGTCCATTATAACAGATTAACGCTATACCCGAGCTGCCCGCTTCTTATAAACTATTTTTGGCATTATACTCATTTACTTTAAAAAACAAAATCTAATAGTATTTATTAGCGATTACAAATATTAATTGTCTATACAGGTTGCCATATTGTCTGTATGTAGGCATCATCAATTAGCACGTATAATAAAAGCGCTTCAATCTGAATGTATTTTTGGAAGTTTTGACATTCGCTATAATGCTTTTCTGCTTGGTAATATAAAAGCAAACAATGACCAACCATTCCTAAATATACGTTTGGGTGTATGCTGTATGTGCACGAATGTAGGGATGTAACTCGTTGATTTTTTAATACACATTACAGTAATGTTTGCTTATACATTTCCTTAATGACCACTATTACACTTAATTGTTGTTTACGTCTGTTTGAATAAAGGCCACTACTAACCAATTTTATTTCTCTTTAATCTAAAGAAATAGATACATTTTAATCTGGGATTTAATGGTGAGTGCGAGTCGATTCCAGGATTTGATTGTTTTAGACAAATCTGATGTAAAACGTTTTAAAAATAACAGCAATTAAATCGAAATAAATAAACTTTGCGACATTGCGTCCTTAAAGGATTTTCCGCTTTATTTTTGAGATGCCACAGTTACTATGGTGTTTTTATGTCTGTCTATCACAGTTTGAGCTCTTCGAGATCCTGAAGGTTTAGATTATGTATAATTGTAGAAAATTCAAGTCGAATTTGAAAAAGTAAGATATTTTATTTTTCTATTTCCTAGTCAATTTTTTATTTGGGATTATGCAGAACTTATTGTTGGAAATTAAAAATCTTTCTTTTCTGAATTCAAGCCTAAAATTAACGGAATGGGTAGGAGAGAATGATTAGACCAGGCGTTACGGTCCTGTTGCGTAAAGGGGCTCGAAGATTGATGAATTTTTAAAGTATGATATTTCATTGTTTCTATTTCCTAGTCAATTTTTTATTTGGGATTATTGTGCAGAACTTATTGTTGGAAATTAAAATTCTTTCTTTCCTAAATTCAATCCTAAAATTAACGGAATGGGTAGGGGAGAATGATTAGACCAGGCATTTCAGTCCTGTTGCGTGAAGGGGGTCGAAAATTGATAAATTTTTAAAATATGATATTTTATTGTTTCTATTTCCTAGTCAATTTTTTATTTGGGATTATTGTGAAGAACTTATTGTTGGAAATTAACCTTTGTTCTTTCCTGAATTCAAACCTAAAATTATTGGAATAGGTAGGAGAAAATTTTTAGACCAGGCGTTACGGTCCTGTTACGTGAAGTGGGTTGAAAATTGATGAATTTTGCGTGAGTAATATATGGGCAGCCTCCAAGAAACGTCATCAGTTGGTATATACCATTCTCATGGCGTGAAGATTAATGCGTATTTTTTCTTTTGGTAATTACAAAATTCATTCATGAATTCCGATTTTTACTTTAATTATTCTTACGGAAAATCGGCCTTTTGAAAATAAATCATCGTTCTAGGGGATTGAACCACACCTAGTATTTATCTAGCTTTTTTGTTTTATTAATAAAGTACAGAAATTAATTTTACAAATCTCACGAGAATAATAATTAATTTTTCAAGTACGGATATGGAAAATTGGCTCGAAGTGTGTTAGTAATAAATATAGCAGTAATATACGACATGGGAATACATTCATACCTTCAGGTGTTTTTCATTTGAAACACGATGAATCATTAGCAGTAAGTACGAAACATCCTTGAGTTTTAGTTAGATAATAATGTCGCAATTAGTCTGAAAATTCTGGTATTAAGCTGCGGGCACTTAAGGCATCTTCTGGGAAGAACTCCTGAAGGTTGCATCCACGCGAATCAAGGAAACGTCGAGGACAAAAAGCCTTGATCAAATGTGGTCAAAAAGCCCGAGGATTATCAATTTTTCAATTTTTCTCGGACATTTCATTGTCAATTGTTTATGTCGTTTTGTTCATTTTGTTCATTAATTGAACGGAAGCAGCAGTTTAGTTGAATCAGATGGGGTTTAAACGAGCTTTATTCCAGCAGACACATAATCATTTATTACAAATTACAATATACGTACACATGTTCATGTATACGAATGTACTTTTGCACACATGGTCAAAGGTTAATAGTTTGTTTCGAAACGTTCATTCACCAAAAATATACCGTGCGTATTTACAACATTTTGCACGACTTGTTTGTTTTGGTCTGTCAAATACACTAATTGATTCATAAGCATTGATCGATTGAATGTTATTTGTGGAATTGCAAATTGCTTCGCATCAGGTGTTGAATAAGTCGAACAGGGCCCCGTGATTACCCTGCAAAGTCAAACATGTTTTACATATATGATTCTAGTACCTCCTTTAATGTTACTTGATAATATATTAGTTTTTATTTTGGCATAATACAAAACGCATTGTTTATAATGTAAAACTATGCGGCATTGGTACAAATATATCTATTACTTTGAACTTTCTTTCTCGATGAACATGGTTCTTGGATTACTTCCTACCCGAGGGATGGTGAAAGGTGGTGTATGCACCAGGGGAGAAAATTATCATGTCATCGGAGTAGTATTGCCATCTTTAAAATCTTGTAACTAGATTAAAAGGCGTAAAAGCCCCAGATGTTGGAGCATAGGTGCGAAATATACTAATACCATCGCGAAACAAGACGTTAATCTACAACGTTGTGGCGCTCCCTTGGGTACGGCCTAAGTACATGAATGTGAGCAGGGTTTTTAAAATATGTACTGGATAAAGCGATGTTTATCTTTTTCGGAAAAGTTTAATTAAAAAATATCGCAATCAACTACAGACTTTGCACAGTCAAATTAATGATAAAGCTGAAGTTGATGGATGACATTAGGATGTTAGATTCTTGTGCTTGTTGTTATTGAGTTAAAAGTTGACATGTGTGGCTCGAATTCCTAATTTATTTTAATGTTCGCTACTTTAGTAGCATACAAAACGATATCTAATTTTTTACGAGATTTAGCAAATAGACCAAGATTGGGTAATTTATCAAAATATTTCAAGCCCGTTCACTACCCTGTAGATTTAGAAAAACCACATATTTAAAAAATGAAAAGTGAGTAAAAAATCGAGTAAATAGATATTTTGACGTAATAACCGAATGTCGTTATTAAAGAATGTTTGCACAGTACAAATTTACAGGATCTAACTGAACAATTTCGGAAACACATTTTGCAATAACTCTGCGATCTATGTAGTAAAGGAAATAAATGTCAACAAGGGCAAACTTTCATTTCGAATGCTCATGGGGCGGTAGGCGAAGGACCAGTAATAACACGACCGTCTTAAGGATTCAGAAGAAATGCGCCGGGTAGTGATTTTTCCGAATACCGGTTAAACAACCACGGTTAATGGTTTATGTTTTTATACTGGCTGACTTTCCATTAAATACCACCCTAACCAACGGCCCTAACTACAAAATTCTGTTCAAAAAATCGTTTAAACACCAAACCAATGAAATTTTAATTTTTGGTTGGCGGATTTTCAACAATTCGGTATTCTTGTTTACGAGAAAAAGAACTATATCGAAATAACAAACAATTTATTATAGTAATCAATAAATAATACAAATTAGGACAAACGACCTATCCCAATACAATCAGAATTACCCATTTTCATTAAGTAGGTTTTTTGTTATACTTATTAAATTATTATTGTTGTTGCTTTTTCTTTTTCCTCTGGTAAAATTACCTTGCGTCATTTTCCTTCACCCAGTCGAATCCTAAAAAAGCGCCGGATCCACCTGGTGCTCCAAACCGGGTACCGGGCTCACCTCTGGAATAAATGTGCTCGCTTTAAAAGTGGAAAACTTGTGTACCTGTATAAAAATTTACAGATTCTGATGTGAGTTATGTTTGTGCTATTTTTATGGAAACGGTACAATTTTAAAGACTTTGAAAACTTATATTCCGACAAATTGATGGTTTAAAATGCTTTTAGGTAATTATCATATGAAATTAATGTGTATGTAAATGCTTTATAATTTTCTTTCACGCAAATCAAACATAAGTAGTACCCAATCGTAAGAAGTATGAAAACGAATTATTTATTGACCAGAAAAATACAGCAGTCTGACTATAAAATGATAGGTATATAACTTATAGCTAAACAAATGAAGCAAAATCTTTATTGTTTTCTGGCGCGGCATGGCGTTTGTTGCCGTTTTCACGCACGCGGAGCGCAAACGTTACTTTTGACGCGCGCTCTCCCACGGTTTCCGCTTTTGTTTTCGCCGACTAATTCCATCATTCTACGCTAGTCAACGCTCGCGACCGCGGGATTTTCGAAACGACGCGCTATGTGTTATCAGCATCAATCAGCAACGTGTTACAACAATACAAATATTGCAATGTCGTATCAAAAGTAGTTATCATTAATAAATTCTAACAGTCGCATCGTATCGTCACACGTTTTTTTTTTCAATTTTTTTTTAAGTTAATGATGGAAAAGTCTTCCTGCAGTTCTTTGCACCACTGGTTGTTGTCAGTCGGCCTAAACAGTAGTACAACTTATCACAATTGTCTGTCGGTGCTTCTTCCGTCGTCAGTGATAAACAGTAACAACTGAAGTGTACGCATACATAGTAATTTGTCTACATTCAGGGATTCACTGAACGTGAACGTAACAATAGAGTGTTTTGTTTTCGATTGTTGTTAAGTGTTGTGTGTTAAAAAAAGTATGACTGCGAAAGAAAAAAACCAAGACGTCGTCCCGTGGACAGGGTTAAATTTGGCTTGTGTTCGTATTTTGCAATTGTATTGTAAAGTTTTCGACCATCTTGACCTTTACCAGACGCAAAGGTAAAATTTTCTGTTGCAACTATTTCATTATTATACACATTGCTGGTTTTTATTATTATTGTTAATCGGATCTATAAATAACTTCATTTAGCATTCTGTCCGCAACCGTGCTTTATTATCTTGTTAGAGGATTGACAAGGTGGAATACTGCTACTGTTGTGAAAATTATTTTCGTTGTTACATTAAAAAAAAGAGGTTTGATTCACTTAACATGATGTATTGCAAGATTGATTTTGGTATTGCACGTGCTGTATAATTTCTTTATAAAAAATAATACATTCATACTTTATAACAATAACGTTACCTACGTTAGTAGTTATCATCTTTTGTTAGACATTGACTTTACCATGAGTTGCTCTGATTCGCGAACTTATAAAAGTTTTAAAATACCTGGTGAGTGAGTAATAACAGCATAGTCGATTCATGAGCCTATTATTGTCATCAAGTTCACAGATAGATATTTTTAACTAGAACTTTCTTTAGATATTTTCAAGTAAAATTGAAATCGCAAGGGTAACAATGAAAGGGCATTGTAGGTACGCTTTTTACATCTGGACTTGGTTTGAACTGTCGTGTGATAGTAGGAAAAAGTGGATTTCATTTCCGTTGTGGTGGTTTTCATTTTATTGTTGTTTTTATTGAAAATACCGCACGAGATAAGATAAAAAAGTAATAAGTACAGCTAGATAACGTGTAATTTTTAAAATATTACGATTTTTTCAAGTTGTTGACTTTCTCTTAAATTTCCACGAACGATGAACATATGCTTATATACACGATATGATAAATGTGCTTTCTTTGAAAAAAGGCAAAGTGATGCACCCGTACCATAAATAATAAAATTGAAGTGTCTGTTACGTTGAAATTGCTATCGTATTTTAAGCTCATGGTTATTGGTATGCTATTAAGACACAAAGCATTTAAAAAATTCGTTGTTTAATGTGGACTAAAGTTTTAAAAATTTCGATGGAAAGAGCAGGTTGCCAGAAGTGATCTAGGCTACTAATATTTATTAAATTAAAAACAGCCAAAAAGGGTTAAAGTTTTATTTATAAGTTTTATGTAATATCTAACCGACGTTTCGCCTTTCTGGTTCAAGACTTTATCAAGGTAGATTACTAAGTTATTTAATTTCATCAGACAGAAACATTAGAAATCCCTTGTAGAATCACACGAGAATTTAACATTTGTTCGTTATCTAGGCTACTTTTTTTAAATTGGTTATTGGTTATAACAATTGGGTTTGTTATAAACAATTAGCAATAGACTCGAGCGGACGACCGGATATTATTTAAATCATTGTTCCCGTAATTAAAAGTTAATTTTCCTCATTCTTTCGATTAAGTTGAAGTTAAATTGTCAAAAATTTTCATTCATAAGATTTTACCTTTCTGTAACTATTTTCGTAAGCAAATATCTGCATGAATCCTTTATCAAATTTTATATCGTATGGTTTTTGTTTAACTTGTATTTCCTTCTGCAAATAGAAACACCAATAACAATAAATATTTCTTGTATAAATATTAGATAGATAAGATACCAAGTTTATAAATGTAACTTTATCTTTACTTTTCAAATGTACATAGATACCTACATTTTTGTCAAATGTTGGGTGCATTTTTACTTTCACATTATTTTTCTACGATTTTATTAGTATAGTAATTAATTACATATTTTAATTATTAATAATAAATTAATCACTTATATCTGAAAAATATCTGAAACCTGCTCTTATAGTGAAAACATTTACTTGATATTTCACATTTAAGGTAATGATTCGGTGATGACCTAAATGATAAGAGGGAAACTTCGTAGATTTGTCATTATGCTTAAATTCAAGAATGTCATCATAATCATCATTAGGTAAATAAAACGATTATAATAGAATACAATTCGTTTCTATCAGTCGTAAATAAAAGACAATAAATTTTTGCTAAGGATCGTGTAGTATTTATAGTAAATATTGACTTGCGATAAGTATACAGACAATCACCTAATATCAATTAATATCCGACCACTTTCGTTATAATCAGTAATTACTTACAAAAAGGTTTATTGTTTGTGCAAAGAAATTGTTAAATATTTGCAATAATATCATGTTTCGAATTACTCAAAAACAAAAAAAATTACTTAATACATAATTTTTGAGAAAAGAAAGCAAGCTTGTTTTCTTACGTTTATTTAAAAGACATTGTCTCTTTTAGTATGTATTACACAAAAGTTTTGTACATTTACTACAAAGGACATGATCTGTGCTTTCATTTGAAGATGTTTTTTTTATTCATCTGAGCAAATGCTATCACGTACGTCAATGACTTTACGATAAGTAGACGTAGCGGTTTAATTACTACAACTAATTAATTAATGTCTTTGACTCGTTAAATTAAAAAAAATACTGAAGTATCGCCAAAGTTGCTTTTCTGGGTTATATGGTACGGTATTGTCTTCAAATGTTAACCGTAAGTAGGTTTTGTTTCCAATTTTAGCCTTTCGATTTCAAGTAAAAAACAATCCTGTACAACAATTATTTATTTATATGCAAGCATCTCGCAATGTTCCTTCTTAATATGCCGAGACCGTAGATGTTTAGTAACTTTTGCGAGACTTTCTTGGAGTTAAGACTTCTCTTTCGCTCCATGTTGCACTCAACTTGATCTATAGGTTCGTTATACAATTTTATATCCATATTGCAACATTTGAACATAGGTATTATGATTACCTATTCATTGATTTCAAACTGGTATCAGTATTAATAGCCACAAACTAAAATACGTACCCCAATTTTAATTAAACTTACAATTAGAGAGAGATTAACTAGTTGCAATAGATTATTGTATAGGTTCCGAAACGTATACGTAATTTATATAACCCAGAAACACCATTCGCAGTTGTTAATCTTAAAATTGGCTATTTAGGTATATCACTGTTTATTAGACTTCTCCTTTCTTGTTTCTTTCGTGGAAGAAGGGAAATCTTCGAAAGACACCCAGCCATCCGAATGACTGGGTAGTTTCGGATTCCCGAGGAAAGCGTCCTCGGACCTGTGTGTGTGTGTGGTGTGTGTGAGAGAGTGTATGTTCCGCCGTTCTCGATTGCCTGCGGCATTCGTTTATAACAATATTGTTCTAGTATAAAATAACCTTTTTTTGTTTCGTTTTCCTACAAACTTTTTAAAAGGACCTGACAGTAGTTTTTACATAAAATGAGCTTTTTGCCCTTTTTGTCTTTGATTACTTAAAAAAAGAATTTTAAACGAATATTTGCTACAAGTTTTATGGAATAATATAAAAGACTTGTTGTCTCTTCTTCATGTAATCCTTACTGCACTTTTCTCAAGTTAATCGTTATTACTTACAAATGAGTTTAGTGACATTTGAAATTTGCCTTAATTGAATTAATTGTTCGGAGTAATGTAGTGACTCAAAATTAGTTGATCTTTGCTCCATTGGAAGCCATAAAATGGGTGCTAATGCGAACGCGGCCTACTTTTATCAATCTGGCCATGTGCACATGGATCTTCAATACGTTTATATTGGTGTATTATGAATAATCTAATTAGGCAACCTAACCCATTTGATCTGAAATATCTTACGTTTGAACATGCAGATTCACGATTTCGAGAAGTTAAAATCTGTACGGAAAACAGCTGTACATTTATTAAATTTTAAACGCGAAAAGCAATAAGAATTAATAAAGCACGTTTACAAGGGTTCATACCCTAACCTAAAAACTAGTAGAAAACCGAAGTTTATGTACCTTATGGCGTTAATTAATTTAAAAGTTAGAATATGAGATTGGTGGTAAAATTAGGACAACTTAACAATTTATCATCATCATCATAAGGTCATCAGTCCTAAGACTGGTTGGACACATACCTCCACTCTTTCCTATCCTGAGCTAAACTTCGCATTTCCCTAAAACTAGAACAGCTCACATCTTTAACTATTTGCGAAGAGTAATCTAATCTAGGTCTACCTCTACCCCTCCTAACTCCTGTTTCTGCCTCTAATATGTCTCTGACTAGACCTTCATGCCTGAGAAGGTGTCCTACCAACCTATCTCGCCTATTTTTTATTGACTTCCATAGAGTCCTCTGTTCTCCTATTCTTTCCAATACCTCTTCATTTCTAACCTTTTCTACCCACGATATCCTCATCATCCGCCTATAACACCACATTTCGAACGCTTCTAACCTTTTCTTTTCCGCCGCTCCCACTGTCCATGTTTCGCACCCGTACAACGCCGTGCTCCAAACATACACCTTTAACAACCTTTTTCGAATTTCTAAATTAACCGTTCGCGAGCATAGAAGTGACTTCTTTTTATTAAAGGCGACACGACCCTGCGCTATCCTCTGCTTTATATCCCTACTACTCCTTCCATCCTGACTTATCTGACTTCCTAGGTATCTAAAATCAGCCACTTCTTCTAATTTTTCGTCTCCTATCTTTATATTCGCTCTTTCCCTACTTTTTCTTCCCTTGCATACCAGTATTTTAGTTTTACTTTTATTTATTTTCATACAGTACTGATCTGTCAGTACCGCTTCCATTTTATTTAAAGCTATCTCTAGGTCCTCCTTGCTAGATGCTAATACTGCTATATCATCTGCAAATCTAAGCATACTAATCTTTTGCCCTTGCACATCTATCCCTACAGTTGTACTGTCTTTAATGATGTTGATGGCGTCTTCGATGTATAGATTAAAAAGTAGCGATGACAGTGTGCATCTCTGTCTGACTCCCTTCCTAATTTTTACTTCTCTACGTTGCAGCCCTAGTTCTATAAGTGCCTGTTGCTCTTTATACAAACTAAGTATCACTCTTTTATCTTTGTAACTCATCCTATACAAATTCTATGTACGCACTCTTTCTTTTTTCTATCGTTTTCTCTATTGTTACCCGTAAAGCTAGAATGGCCTCTCTCATTCCTCTATTTCTTCTAAACCCAAATTGATCTTCCGCTAATAGTTCTTCCGCCCATTTTTCCATCCTCCTCTG